CTGTGTTACTACTTTTCAATAAAATTGACAGAAAATTAAGTCCTAAAAGCTATTTCATAAGGCCAATTTCATATAATTCATAATTTTACAAAAATAAAAAATATTCTGAAGATATTAAGTATTATTAATTTACATATCTTTAAAATATTAAGTCTAACACGTACAAAGTAATTATATAAAGTATTCTAATAGAAAAGCACCTTAGTACACACGTTAACTGTCATGAAAGAGTGAAAATTCAAACCAAAAATTCTACTGCCCACAAGGAGGAGGAGACGAGTGGTCTTGGTCGCTTGGCTTGAGTTTTCTAATTCATTGAAAAGAACCGGTTAACTAAGACGGATTAATATTCAACTCGGCTTCGGTTTTTTAAGTTGCACTTTCATGGTTAACATATGGAACTTCAATTACAAATCAGTTATATATGTCAAATTATCAGGTCGTTCAACTTTCCTGGTTAACAAATATGACACTTCGATCACAAGTCTATTTTACATGTCAAACTAACAGATCTCCACACCTTCCTCGTTAGTAAGTACACCTTTTCGATTACGTATCAGTTTTACATGTCAAATTATCAGATCGTTCCACCTTTCTGGTTAGCAGGTTCAACAAACTACATTGTTTCAGTTTTATTTCGTCATAAAACCATTATCTTCATAACTAACGTTGGTAAATGAGTAGACAGATGAAAAAGTGTTTGTTTTTATAGGAATCACGAAGTCTTGCACGTCAGTATACGAGATAACTATACTTACCGATATTGTACATCTTCAGTATAAGGCACATAAACAACTTGAATATACACACCTTTATTATAAATTGAAAGTATTTCCAGGCTTTATTACACTAAAATAAGTACTTTCAAACATCGAAACAAAACCAACACTAACGGAAAACAGAAAACTTATCAAAGTATGCTCATTCTCTACATCTAGTTACTAAGTATACGTGGTTTCAATATAAAGAAGCCTCTTTTCTATTGGACAAAATGTACTTTCCTATATAATTCACGAACGCAGACAAACGACCAAGACTACGCGTTTCTACCCAGCTTACTTGAAAACAAACAAACGATGTTCCAAACGTCATACGACTAAGAATACGCAAACATTCAACTGATTCAAACAATTATAAATTAAACAGCCAGGAAAGGCTAAGTGATATTTATACACACACACAGACGCTAACATTTTTTTTTAATCCACAAAAGTTTAACCTGACGATAGTGGCTTAATGTACCGAATTTTGAAACACATACACATACACACATACACAATAGCATTAACTCAGTCGTGCCACCTAACGAGTAATAACATAATCTGGATGACTCCGAAAAAAATATACGGTATATGTCTATACAAATCTTCACTGAAAACCACCAGTGGGTATCAGAACTAAAAATAAGACTCGTTGCTACGCTGTCTTTTCTAACTCGTATATCTCCAAGCATAGGATCGCTGCAGTAACTGCTGCGTCATTAATGTAGTTGCTGAGGTAAAATGAAAATCGTTTTTTCTTCTAGTAAGTACGACATAAAGTTCACTTCCTTTTTATACTGACATTTATTGTTGTTTTTACAAAACACTAGTAAAGATCACTTTAAACCAGTAACAAATAGTTTTTTTTTGACGACAAATTCTTACAGAAAAAATAGTCCTAACTTGAAAAATATTAGTATGTATTTTGTTTTCCTGTGGTAAATAATTGACATTTTTTTAGATATCTTGGGACGGACAAGAGTTGAAGTTTGTTGAATTGCTAACATTATAACTAAGGTACAATTTCATCCAGATAAAACTAGGTACCCTTTGACGTTTCTTATCCGATATTATCAACGTTAGCTTCATTTTCACGTTGAGTATTCCTCCTTTCATGTGTATCGTTAATAACTAGTTAAAAAGCCACCATTCCTGCATGAATAAATTGCTTAATAAAAAAGTTCAATTAAGTCATTTATAACGGCTGCTGATAGTGATAGTTCTAAGTTACAACACTCTCAAAGGAAAAACCTTTATTTTCTTGACGTCACCCCTCAAAGAAATCTCTACTTTCGTAGATGCACACCCAAAATAAAAGCTTGTATTATCGTTTTATTTGTAACACAATACCAAATTATTAAAACGCAAAAATTAGTAACTCATTTTAAAACTTAGCAGCGTAGCATATTTTATGTTCGATACTTAGAATCTATCGTTATACATAAATCAAAAGATTTTCCCACTTGCCTTTATACTGTGTTTTTAATAATATTGATATTAACATCACTAGTTCTCAAACTTTTCACGCTCGCAAACCACTTTCTTTAAATCATTTCTGAAATACAAACTCAGGCTTAATCAATTAAGTAATAAAAAATCATATTTTTAACGTGTACCCATTAATGGGAATGATGAGATTGTTTTTTCTAGCACAACTAAAGAATATGTGGTACAATGTTTATCAATTTAAATGGAAGAAAACACTGGCTATTCTATGCAGATGAAGGGCGAATCTATAAGTGAGAAAAGTGGTGTGTATTTGTACACGGGAAGCTTATAGATAGGGCTTATTAAAAACTTTATTATTCATATTATTATTTTTTACATTAGTTCTGTCCTATGTGTTTGTCAATATATTGTAACTGTGTCACGTTTAAAATATTTATAGGTTGTCTTGAACACTGATGTGAATTTACATAGTCATCCTAGTAACTTTTTACTAGGTGACTTTTTTAGTGACTTGATTAGGTTCAGGCTACATTACGTGCATGTTTCAAAAGTTATTTCTGCAACGGCTTTTGAGAGGAGATGGAAATCTTTGAAAAATACTACAGATCATCATTAAGCGTTAAAAAAAATAAAAATTATTACAAACAGGTTGTTTGAACATAGCATTTTGAGAAGTTGCGTAAATATAGAAGAAATGTTTTGATTCACATCACCATGCAGGAAAAATCCGTGGTTCGATTCCCCGCGCTCCACACAGCAGATAGCTCAATGTGGCTTTCCTCTAAAAACATCACCTCCGAGCGGTTATCGAGTGCAATTGACATCAAATAAACATATGAACTTTTCGGCCTAATTAAAAAAAACAAACTGCACTTCATTTAATTAATATCAGAGCAAAAAATAAATAATTTAAATTAACCCGGCAATGAGTATTGCCAATTAAATATACTGTTTTTACATTCCAACTTAGAGATTAAAATGCTACAACATTTTCGGGCGTAAACTCAATGATAAATATCCTACGAGGTTCGCCTAGTTTAGAAGATATAAATTAGTCCTAAATTTCATATACTAAGCTAGCAATTAAAATAATTTATAATAAAAGCATAATAATAAAACTAAATATATATTAAATGTTTTAATCTATACCGTTAATGACAGCAACATTAAAGAAATACCAGAATATCCCTTACAGGCTTACACAAACATTAGTTATCAGCTTCAAGTACTATCGCAAGTTAATGTTATTTGAACAGACAAGTAAAACTTTGCACAGTCCTCTCTAATCCGAGATATACAAGTCGGATATATACAGACAGCTGGTCTATTCTTCAGTGAAATGAATAATAAAACATTAGTCACTGAAAATATTGGAGTTATAAAATTTAACAAAATTAAATTTTCTACTAAATCTGTTTTTGTTCATTACTATCACTGACACACACATTGAATTTGGAATATAAAATTTAACTGTTTATATAATTCATAAATGATGTTTACAAAACCTTTTTCTTCTTGTACTAATTAGTTAGTGTATGAAACATGACATGCAGTGGTATTCGTAATGACGAATTAATTTATATATTGTTTGTTTGTTTTGAATCTCTATGCTAGCCGTCCCTAATTTACCAGTGTAAGACTAGAGGGAAGGCAGCTAGTCATCACCACCCACCGCCAACTCTTGGGCTACTCTTTTATCAACGAATAGTGGGATTGACCGTCACATTATAACGTCCCCACGGCTGAAAGGGCAAGCATGTTTGGTGTGACGGGGATTCGAGCCCACGACCCTCAGATTGCGAGACGAATGCCTTAACCACCTGGCCGTGCCGGGCCATTTATATATTGACGATCAACTGGTTTGTTCAATAGGACTAGACCAGACTACATGGACTAGACTAGAGTATCTGCAATAACAGGCAGACATACACCATACACACTCTGCCATAACAAAAACAGTAAAATAAAATAATTTTTTTTTGTAAAAATTAAGTGTGATGTAGGATGGCAATGCCAAAAAATACAGAAACAAGGTAGGAATGAATACACAAAGTCATACAAAAATTCCTACATAAGTGGCCAGTAAGTACCGAGTCAGCCTTACAAGCTTATGGTTATTAGTCACTCTGAGACTGTATAGCACGATTCAGTTTAAATGCTTTTATTGAAATCTGAATGCATGCAACCGATAGGAATTCAACATTTAGTTATAGACAAAAGTTATTCTGTCTATTAATGCAGTGATTTTCGTATGGTTTGGTATATTCATACCTACCTTGTTTCTGTATTTTTGGCAATGTCAAAAACTTTGGCAACTTCATTATAGTTATTTTTATTACTCCTTTGCCCTCTTTTTTTAAACAATTTAGGTTGAAGTAGGTTGATAAGAAAACAATTATTTTTATTTGTATATTTCAATGGTAATATATATATATATTGCTAATATCATATCTAGGGTCACGTCGATTGATATATGCATACACACACAGCTGCCAGGCTTGGCCCTACTAAAATTAAATAGACCACTATAAAACGTATTGTTTTTAAACTCGGGCATCAAAAACACGTACACAGATTTCTCACTTGCATAAATACTTGATATTCTTGATACATTGAATATTAATTTAGATTATTCTTTCTTTCTTTATTTTTACTGAAATTATTTTGGAACATATTTGCGAATGAAGTCACAAACGGTCGTTATATAAGAACACTGTACTGCCATCTAGCGACCATACATGGAACTGATATTTATGAAACATGGAAATAATATATGCGTATAAAGGGAACTCACTTCTAAGTATTTTCCTTTTTATTATTTCCCCCAAAATACACGTAGTACAAGAACAGAATGATATTACCGTTATTCAGGCCGTGAAACACTTGATAATAGCAAATACGTGCTCAAATAAGGCTATAATTCAACTTTACAGATTATTCGTAAGCATCATAGATTAATAAATTGAATGCAGCGGCCATTATTTTCTCGGCCAAGTGTGTCCCAAGTGCTCTTAAGATGCTCTTCTGTCGTACTAAAGCCACTGCAAAAACTTCACTCATTTTTAGCGAGCTGGAAGAAGAAAAAAGAAAGATGAACACTTTGGCTCTTTAGCTAGTTCCAAATTTTCCACTTTAACAACAATTTTCAATAATAATGGGAGTCTCACAAGCTGTAAAACACCCGATGACGGCAATTAGGTGCTCAAATAAGGCTATAATTAAACTTTAGCAATTATTTGTAAGCATCATAGAGTAATAGATTTAAAGCAGCAGCCATTTTTACTCGGCCCAACATACTAGGCATTACTGTGCTTAGTAATTATATATATAACAGTTTTTAGAATATTAGTATTGAAGTTTGTTATTTGTACCGCCCCCTAGCGCTAAATTTACAAGACTAGAATCCTGAAATTGATTTCAGATGCTACACTATCACAATATTACAGGCACTGATTGTGATAAATTATTAAAAGATATAAATGCCTTGCTGTGATCATTCAAGTCACAGTATTTTAAATGGAAACCAAAATTCCACATCCACACGAAACAATATTTTCCTTGATAAAAAAAAAGCTCGTGACCTCTCGCTGTCAGTATTTCATTCTGTTATGAAACAGATGGAAAAAACAAACAAACTTATACTTCAAACTATATATTTATTTATTAATGCAAGTTAATATTTTGTTTTTTCAACATCTAACTCCATTTAGTAACAAATATCATTCGCACACAGATATACATGGGAGAGTCTAATGTTCATCATAAAACCTAATTCGGTAACAAGAAATATCAGTAAACTTTACCCAGGATTTGTTAATTAAAACAATAATTCTAAAG